TGACTAGGGGCCAGGAGGAAGCACTCGACCCAAGAGAGTGCATTCATTGACCTCTGTAGGCACTGAAAGCAGAGAAGTAGTGTGATACATCACAGAGAACACAGAGCTGTGCGTTCAGTGGTCAGCTTGAAAACCTCATAGTCAGCTTCACTACACCATGATCAGATTTGCGGAGGTGTAACTCAATGATAAACATTGAAAGATGCCACTGAGAAAGATCTATAAATATGCAGTGCATCTTTCTTCCTTCCTACTTATTTTAAAATCATACTCAGCTTGAAATTGTAGTTTCTTACAGCAAGTCTCTGTGCAATTTTCATAATTCCCAAAACTGAAGTAAATTGTAGTGATCTTGTGGAATGATAACATCCACCTCAGGGCAGCACAATTATACCAGTACCTATGCAGTTACTGTAATACCACGGCAACCACCAATGGATTGGTCCCTGCTTTGACCCATTGACAAGAGTCCTACACCCCAGCTAATAGTCAAATACTCCTTCACGATGTAAAAAAAAAACAAACAAAAAACACTAAACAAACAAAAAAAAAACTAAACAAAAACAAAAAAGGGTGAAATGCCACACATCCATTTCCACCCGCGTGCAGCCACTGTCTATACAAAGCCACACATTTTAAGGTCTCTCCACCTCTTTTGAGCATTATTTTCTTCAGCTTCATAACATGACTTCTTCAGTTCTCTGTTCTTTCTTCAGTCTGTCAATCCCACGTCGGTATGAATTTAGCCAGAAATCATCTTAACCTTTTAGTTACATCAGAGAGAAGAATCAAGAAGGGGCTTGCTCTCTTTCCACAGATTTTCCTGGCAGTTAGTGCAGAGCTCCTCCAGAACAAAATACAGCATCGTTGTCCGCAGTCCATGGGTGCGGCTCGTCTTTCTCTACTGTTCTTAGAGCTTCCTAATAGGACAAACTGAAAAGTAATAGAACAGTTATCCCTAAGAGGCTGCTTACTGGACGAAGGAAATGAGATGCAAACGTTTATTAAGAGGGATACTTCACTATAGGTGAAGTATAGAAGAAAACATCTCTAAAACACTGTGTATCTTCTGTGTTCTGGAAAGAAAGTCGGGTCAACCTTGAGTCCCCTTGAAGAGAACTGCTGGGTAAAACCAGAGCTCCTTCAGAAGGCCACGCTCAATTTTAAAATGTTCTTTAAAACTCTTTAATCTTAAACGTCTCGCAGCTAGGTAAAAGGGGCAACCCTGAAATCCTATGGAAACGGCAGCCTCATTTTCGAGAGCGGGAAGGTGGGAGGAGGGACGACGAGCCGGCTCTGTAGACATAGCCAGAAACGTCCCGCTTTCCTTTTCTCGAAAGCCAGTTCTCGAAACGCCCCCAGCGTTCAGCCACTCTCAGGGGACAGCGGGGGAGCACCGGCCCCAGCGGCCTGAACCCCTCCCGCACCCCTCAGCCGGCCGCGGCGGCGGGACAAGGGGTCTACGGAGCCAGGAAGCCGCTGCGCGCTGGCCGGAGCTGCCTCTCCCGGGGCAAAGCTATTCAGGGGGTTCCCGGGTCCCCCGATTTCCAGGCGGGAGGTAGGGAGCGCCGGCGGGGCGCGGCGGGATAGGATGGCTTTTTCCCTTCGGAGGGAAAAGCACTGGGGGGAAGAGGAAAGATGCATCTCTCTGGGCTTCAAATGCAGGCGTGTCAACGCTGCTTGCCGCTAGTGGAACGGGTAACCTCGCTGCAGCAAGTGCTCCGCGGACCACTGGAGAAAGAGACACTTGAGTCATGGTAAACACTTCCACCCGCGACCTAAGCAAACCAAGAGGCTTCGCCCCGCGACGGTGCGTCCCCGAGTGCAGGCGGCCCGCCGCATTCCGGGCCCTGCCCGCGGGTCGCGGTACTGCCCGCGCCCTGCCCGTGGGGGTCGTGGAGAGCCTATAGAGTCCCTGACTACCGCAGCGGGCGAGCCCGGGACCTGGCTGCGCCCTGGGAAAGTCCGTAATTCTTCCCCCCAAGGAGCAGGTAGATCTAATAAATGAAATAATAGCAATAGTAATATAATAATAATAATATGGGCAAGATGAAACTCTAATTGCCTGCTAATATGAGCCGCTTCCCGGATGAGGGACTTCGGTAAGGCTGCCAGGAGGATTTGGTAGCCTGTTCCGCGACAAACAACGCTGACATAAGCCCTGCTCTGGGAGGTAAACACAGGGCAGCTCAGATTTCCGTAGGAGAACAGCGCGGGGGACTTGTGCCCTAGGGAAAAAAAAACTCGTAAGGCAGCAGGAACTATAGCCGGAGTGAGCAGAAATTACAAATCCAGTGGCATCGACGCGTGACATTGAAGATTTCTGTGCAAATCTCCGAGACGGCTCGGAAACGCACCGATAATCCCGGGTGGTTGGCGTGGTATAGCGGGATCTAGCCTCCGCCTCCCGACTCCATGGCCCCGTTTCGGCAGCGCCCGCACGCGCACCCGGAGCCACAGCAGCCTGGGCGAGGAGACACGGGCTTTGTTTTACTCGCACCTACCAAATCTGCGATCTCTGATCCGGGGCTGCCGGTCCCGGGGAGCCCCGGCCCAAAGGTACCAGGAGAGGGCCCGTCTCTCGCTGCACCCTCCGTGTCGTTACGCAGAGAACAGAGAGAAGTTTGAAGTTTTGCTATTTTTTATTTATTTATTGCATCTAGAATCCCCCGCGCCCAGCAGTAAACCTAACGAGTCTGCTCCCAGGTTTCTAAAGCGCTTTGTGCTTCTAATCGCAGCCGGGCGCCGGATACTGCTCCTGCTATTCCACTTCTCCCGAAAGATCCCTTTGGGTACTTTTGGGGCGAATATTTTTTTTATTATTATTATGGCAGATCCCATCAAAGCGCACATTGCGGGGAATACAAGTCCCAAGTTCCCAGGGACTGCTTTTTCCTCTCCCGCGGATGCTGCTTCTGTGGTGTCCAAGCAGCCGCAGAGCTCCTCAAATACGGGCGTGAAAGGCATGTCCCGGGAGGGCAATGAGGCATGAAATCTCGCTGTTCCTTTACATAATAGCAACATCCACATGAAAGGGGAAACACCCGACGTGCCACCAAATATAACTGCATTAGATGGAGGGTATGGGAGGAAAAAAAAAGGCTGCTGCTGGTTTCTCTTTCGCCGAGGCCCTTTCTCGCGCGCACACCACTAAAGGAGCTACACCACCTGTACCTTCAGCAGAATTTAACGGAGTGGAAAACCGAGTTACCATCAGCACAGTCGCTAAACTGCAGGCAGCCGGGGAAGAAGCAGCCCCGTCACTACGGAGCGGAGCTGTGCCGGGAAGGTGCTCGCTTCCCCACACAGGGCCGACCGAGCTCGTAGCCTGCCCAAAACAGCAGCCGGAACCATTCCCACTCCAGACCTTCTCTCCACGATCCTGACCCGTCGTTCACCCCCGCCTCGGGCCGGCGCAGCATCGTGCTGTCGCCGCCCGGAGACCCAGAGAGGCGAGAGCAGGGCGCCCGCGGCGCCACGATGAGGGTCGCGGGACCATGCCGCGCCGACGGCGAGACGCCTCGCCACCTGATCGTTTTGCGGCGATCCCAGTGATTGCTTCCCGCGTCTCTCTCCGGCAGGTGCCCGGAGCCCGGCCGGGAGGACTGCCCGTGCCGAACGGTACCACAGGGCAGCATCGAGGGACCGCCTCCCTGCACGGCTGCAAGCCTATCCCTGACCCTATGTGCTCCCGAGGAGCCAGAAAAACCGGTGATGTCCAGGCCGATTTCGTGGCCGCAGCGCGGACCACCGCCGGCCCCTCCAGGGCAGCATTCAGACAGCAGGAGCTGGATAAAAGCGTTCCCAGGAACGTGGGAAAGTGGACGGAAACGAGGGACAAGCAGAGGGGCACAGTCACCTAAGGTGAAAGATTACATTTCTGCGGAGATCGTACTACTCCGAATGTATATTGTCAGGAAGCCGGAACTGGAAAACACAACACAGAAGAACTGGGAGGGGGGAATCCCAGACAAAAGCAAACTAAAACCCGCCTGGTACAGATCCGGTAACCAAGCCACTAAACTTCCTCCGAGTCTTTTCCAGCCGGGATTATCGCCGCGCTTGTTTCCCGTCCCTGCAAGTGCCCGGTACCCTTCGGGGGCCCGTCAGAGCCCTCCGAGACGGGGCGGCTTGCCTGGCTGGGCCGGGATTTATACTTTTCCCGGGATACACACAAGCCTCACACCCACGTTCCTGCATCCTACAAGACACTCCGCGGCACCCAAGAAGCGGCGGTCAGGGCTGCCGGCCGGCGCTTTGCGGGACGGGGAGGGGGGCTGGTTCGGCTCGGATTTTACAGGCCAGGGTGGGATGGCGGGGCTTCTTCCCTTCTCCCTTCGGCAGCATAGGAGGGCTAGGGACCAGATGTCACTTATTCCCCCGAAGGGGAGCACCGGCGATGCTCGCGAACCCTGTTCACCCCCCAGCCCCGTGCCGGGGGCAAATGCCCCGCTCCGCTCCCCGCCTGGCGCGGGTCGAGGGCGGCCAGGCCCCCTGCGGGGTGGGCTGCTGCCCGCCCGCGCCTCCACGGTGGGCGGCCCCCCCTCCCCGCCCGTCACCCCCGGCGGGGCGGGTCTTGCCGGGGGCGGGCCGTCGGGGTTGAGGCTGTGCCGCGGCGTGGGAAAGCACTTCAGAGAAGGTTTTCTCTGTTGGCGTTACAGAGCTGAGCTGTGCCCTGCCGCACCGGAGCCCCCCCCACCCCCCGGATTTATTTATCACTGCCCCCAGCCCGGTTATAAACTGTGCTGCATCCTGTGCCCACGATGAAACGACCGTGCGAGGAAACTACCTCAGACAGCGACATGGACGAGACTATAGATGTGGGGAGCGAGAACAACTACTCAGGGTAAGTGGAACGCACACACACACACCGTCCCTCCGGGGCCGCCGTCTCCGTGGGGACCGGGGTAAAGCGCGGAGGAAACCTGGCCGCCCCGGCGGGGTAGCGAAGGGGGATGGGGCTGTAGTGTCTTCCTCCAGGTCAGCCAGCAGATTGATAACCAGGAGTTTGCCCTGCGGTATAGCTGCCCGAGCCTCGAAATAACCCGGAGCACTCAAGTAGCTTGGGAGACATCAGGCTGCAGTTCATTAGCTCCGCTTAATTTGCCGTTTTCAATCAGATCTTTTCCAAAATAGCTCCTGAGCAGGCCGGACAACCTAAGGGAATGTGCGCTAGCGGGCAGTGAGCTGTGGAAAGTAATCAGGGAGCCACGGCAGCTGAATGGTAACTTCGGCAAGCCGAGGGTGAGCCGTGGTATTCGCGAAAGGGGGATGGCTGGGAGCTCGGCGGGACCCTGCTGGCCTTCACAGCTGGTCTTGCCAACTTAGGGGCACATGCTCTGGAGCCCTGTCTCGTCCAGATCAGTATTAAAAGCTACCGGATTTTTTTGCTTACACATGATGAAATAAAAGCCTTTTCGTGCTCGTGGGTGGTGTAGGTTTAAAAGTGGATTTTGAATTCTGCTCCTGATGTGGGACAATGCAGCATATTGGGGTGGGCAACTGACTTGAGCATCTACTGACTCGAGTAGCAATGGTCAGGATATCAAAACCTAGCAGGTCAGGTAGAGGTTGTGGTTTCGGAAACCTGTACTTTCCACCACTGTTAGCGTATAGAGGTGGTTCGCGTGGGTTTGCACTCGGTTCTTCAGCCTGTGTTTGGTAGGCAGGGCTTTGTATGCAATGGAAACGAAATCTGCTACGCAGAAGAGTGACCCTTCTCCAGAAAGGGACCTGTTGGCAGGGTGTTCTGTCCGTTTAAAATATATTCTGGGACTGTCAAAAATTAAATGTCTTTCTTTAAAAATACTGTGCAGTGCAAAGCACATCTTCTAAGCGCTGAAAACAGCAGGTGAAGGACTATGCATAACTAATAACAGTGACCTAAGGTGTCTTCAAAGATCAGTGCCAAGTTGTGCAACACCTGACATCCTTTTATTGTTTCACAGGCAAAGTAATAGTTCTGTCATTCGATCAAATTCCCCAACAACAACATCTCAGATTATGGCTAGAAAGAAAAGAAGAGGGGTACGTTGCATTTAATTATTTTCGCGTGTGACAGTTTGCATGTGTGCTTTGATTTTGCCCTTCAACATTTTTTCTAAACTTAATATGTTTTGGTTTTCTTTGGGAATAGATTATAGAGAAAAGGCGCCGTGATCGTATAAATAACAGTTTATCAGAGCTGAGGCGGCTTGTGCCAACTGCTTTTGAAAAACAAGTAAGCCCTTTTTTTTCGTATTTTCAAATTCTGTGTCTCATCTGGCAATGTTAGTTCTCTTGTAAAAGTCATTAAAATAATGCTGTATGTGTCCTGATCTGGCACAAAGCAGGCATTTCAATAAAATGCTTTGTTGTGGCAAAACTATTAGAAATATAATTCATTATAAGGCTGAAAAACATTTCCATTCTTTGGCTTGTTTTTCCCTTAAGGGTAACTGTGTTCATGTTGCCTCTGTTCTTTCAGTGAATTCCAGTAGTGGTTTGTTAAAAACGTGCTTTATTCCATATTAAAAAAAAAAAAAACAAACAAAACAACCAGCAAACCCAACACAGTTCCCCCAAACTTGGGTGTCAGTTTGCCTTCTGTCTAAACCTTTAAATATAATCTGCATCACACCTACTTTAAGAATCCTTTATTTTTTAACCTATCATTTCAGTTGGAAACTAATCAACCCAGTTTCCTGAAAAGGGAGCAAGCAACCTGCATTATTCACATTTTAGAGTGACTGTGTAGAAACAGTGCATTAGGAAGGGGAATAGGACCATGAAGTCAGTGATGCGTTCAAAGACATTCAGTGAGAAAGTATTTCAGTACAAAGGCTGTAAGGATCCAGGTAGCTTTGGTTCAGCTCCTTGGTCAGGCCAAAAGCTTAGAATAAAATTTGTCCTTTAAAAAAAGAGCATTTTGTTTCTGCCATTCAAATTTTTATTTATTTTTCCACACCTTGATTTTTATTTTTTTTTTTTTTAGGGTTTTGGTTCAGTATGTGGTTTTATTCCTGTTTTGTTAGATGTATGTATCTGAAGATCTGTGGATATGCACAATTGACACTACATTGCAATAAAAAGACCCAACTGAAAATAAAGAACCTGACTTCCTTGTAATAGAAAAATAAAACAACAGAAAGCAGAATTTGAGAGCAGGATTGTTAGGCGCTAAATGTCAGTGTTAATTATGGGGCAAGTACTGCACCATATTAGGTCTGTTACATCCTTGGTCTGAACAAAACTTGGTTATAGATAAATTTGAAGTATTGTAATTGTGATGACAGCATCACCTGTCACCTGCAATATTGTTTTGGTAACTAGTAGTTGTAACCATGCCCTGGTGGGGGTTCTGGCAAAACAGTGACAGAGGTGTCTTCAGCTAGATAAACATGGTCAAGAGACAACGGTTGTTTGTCCCATTTTATTGTTTACTTCTTGAAAACCACAAACATTATAAAGCAAGTCCTACAGAGCCTTTGGAAATTACCCAGCACCATGCAGTTTTTAGCTATTAGTCACTCTTACTGAGACAGCTTGTACTGTGTCTATGGAAAAGATGAAGTCTGAGAAAACTACAGGATGTAATTGCATGTAAAATGGGGAATTCTGACGACAAATTCAGACACTAACCTTTGCACAAGGAAAGCGCCAAAAGCAATAAGCAGATAAAAAAGAATTTAGTGCAAAAATGAGTGCATGCTGTATTTTGCTCAGAAAGCCCCACCATTTTTATGCAATATGCCAAGGGCAAAGTCATCAGCCCTTTTCCAGCTCCTTGACATTCAGCTCACTGGAGTTTCCAAGTTGGAGGTTTAGTTTCGCTTCTGCCTCGCTCTCTCCCTTCTTTCTTCCCCAAATCAAATCACAGCTCTGTGCTCCAGAATCCTTCTCGGAGATTAGAAAGTCTTGATGAAGCGGGGCTGCAGAAGGGGAGGGTGTAAACCTTGTCTAACCTGCACGTGTGAGGCTGCAGAGTAGATAAATAAGAGAAAAATTTGGCTTGTGGGATGTGATCCACTGGTGACTGCAGCTTGTGAAGCCCTGGTGTTGGCTGATGCCAAGGGACAGTCTCTTGCACTGGAATAACATTTGCATGGTAAACTCAGTCATCTGGGTGTTCTCCAGATATTGAAGGAAATGCTACCATTCAAAATAGTTTTATTTATAGATTAATATGTTAATGCTACCTTTTGAGTTGTATTTGGTGATTTTCCAGCACCTATTGTAGCTCTGTGAGCCATCCTCACTAACAAAAGATTTTTACTGGCAGAGGAGCTGAACTCTTTCACAGTATTTAGCTTCAAGTCCCAGAAAACTAGGCCTTTTGCTAACTTAAAATACCGTGGGGTTGTTTTTTTCAGTCGAGAATGAGTATAGAATAGTCAGCAGCCAAATGATACGTCGAAAATTAACAAGCTGTTAAGGAAGAGGGATACTTTTGGGTGTATGTGTCCGCAGGGACACCTGCTGGTAAAAGCACAAAAAAGTATGTTGCTCCAAAGTCTTCATCGATAACTGTGCAGACCTGGCCTGCCAGCCCTCCATTTCTGTCTGTTGTTAAAAAGAAAGCCCAGGAAATTATCTGTTTATCTCATTTCATGAAGATGTCATCTCTACACTATCTTCAAGGCCAGAGCTACCCTGAGCTATAGCCTTAATAAAGCAAAATCGTGCTGCTGCTTGTATAGCTAGAGAGGAGACAGCATTAGTCCTTAGACAAGATCTGGGCGGCAGATGCTCACGAAGGAATTAAGCTGAGAATGTCCTAATGATAGGGGAAATTGAAGCCATAAGGCTGAGCTCAGTGGAAAGTATATCAAATTAAAGTTTCTAGTACTTGTAAGCCTTTATTTATACGAGTCTCTTTATCTCAAAGGGATCAGCCAAATTAGAAAAAGCGGAAATACTGCAAATGACAGTGGATCATCTGAAGATGCTGCAGGCGACTGGAGGTAAAGGTAAGGAGCCCATGGTTTCTTCTCTAATATTCGGGGAAATCTCAGCAAAAAAAAAGTGCTTTGATGAGCTGCGTTTCCAGATTAAAGGAGTGGAAATCGATGCTAATGGCAGGATTGAACTCGTGGGAAAGAACTACTGGGACAAAAGAAGCACTTGACCCTGGGCTTGTGTTTGCTTTCATAACACTGTGGGAGTAAAGGCTTCATTCACAGGCAGCCCAGTCAGAGATTTGTTTGGGGTTTCCAAAGAGCACTGAAATCTGCACAGGGAGACAAAACAAATACACAAACACCAAACATAAACAGGAGGTTTGTGGCAACAATTGTGTAGCACAAAACCGATGCTAAAGCTCATTATCCAGCAGCTATACCGAAGGAAGTGGATGGAGAGGAACTTTCATTGTTGTTTATGTATTTTCTTTGTTCTGGAAAGACTTTTAAATGCCAGGTTAGACTGTCTTGTTCCCCAGAACAAAACCCAGACTTGCTCTCTGCAGCTCCAGGTACCTGATAAAGCAGACTCTGAGTTCACATTTGCGTGATGTATTTGTATGTCAGAGGTCTGGGCAGTTCCCTCGGCGCTGGCATGATGCAGGGGCTGCACTGGCTGACCCGCTGGATCAGCCGACTGCTGGGAGCCAAGCACACCTCGCTTGTGCAAGCTGACAGTCCTGAGGCTGGAGGCCAAGTGATTTCAGCCACCCACGAGGTATTCTGTGTAGTCATGGGTTTGGAACTAACTTGGACTGAAAAACTTGCTGGCCTCCTGTAGGCACAGTCTCACGTCCTGTGCCATCGACCGTGATTATGGTTCAAATTGCTGTAATGGAAACCAGCCGATTTTTCACAAACCCACTGGCTATATAGGTAAAGGCTAGAAAAGAAGCTGCTGTTGCTCTCTGTCTTCCTTTTTTGATTAAAGTTTTTAGTCTGTGATTGAATTACTGCTCCTCTCTGTACCTTGCAGTGATTATAGAACTCAGAATTGGTGCATGCTTAGCAACAGATGGTTATGGGAAAGCATGCTGAAGGCTGGTATTCTGTTGTTTGTGAAAACTGACACCAGGCTGACATACCTTTTTTCTTGGTGTTAAGAGGCTTTTGTTGGGAGTCCATTTAAGCTTAAAATTCATAGGTAACTTGTTCTATAAGCTGTGAAAGGAATTTTCTTGCCCTTCATATAACAGACATGTGTCTTGATTCCTCAGAAAATGTGCAAAATTAAAAGAAGTTCATATTTATATCTTAAAAGTGTCTTTTAAAAAGCACTATTTAGTTGGTAAAGCTGCACTCTTGAAAGTTATGAAACACCGGAATTGATTGTGCTTGTGTAATTTAAATTCAGATCCTGTGTGTGTGTGATAGTGCCGTGTTCAATTGCATGGTGGCATGCTGGCTTTCCACAAGCTGTGTCGCCTGGTGCACAGAGTGAACAGTGTTCGGCTGCTGGGGGAACCGATGGTTGTTCTGCTTTGTCCTCCCCATGCAATGTGCAGCTCAGCTAACCCACCCAACCTGACCCTGCTTTGCACTCCTCTGAAAAGCTGAAGCAGCTCCCACCCCTCCAATGTCTGTGCTGATAGTGGGAGGCCAGGAGGTGGCCCGATCGGGGGCTTAATTTAGTATGAAGCCCCCTTTACCTGCCTCCCTACCCCAAAAAAACTTGTGGGGGATTATTTTATAATTGGGTCAGGTGAGGTGGCCCAGCCAATGGGGCAGGGAACAAAGTGCCTGGGATGGGACCTGCTGGGTGGAAAGAGGTGTCAGCAGAGCCCCGGCATCTGGCTGCTGCAGGACAAGCTGGATTTTGTGACCGGTCTCAGGTTAATGCGGTCTCTTCCTTGGTCTGCCACCACAGCCATGCCTCTCCCTGCCCTGGCTAACACCAGCGTGCCTGTGGCTACTGGAGGCCAGTGTGGGGAAGGATGACGCGTTGAGGTGCTGGGAGAGGTGATTCTGGCTTATACCCAGAGCTGCCTTCCATCCACCCCATGGTCCATAGTGGGTGGCATATCCATATAATAGCCAGTCACTTCACAAATACTACAGCTTTATCTTCTCCTTCTGGCCCAGAGATAAGAGTAATCTCTCACTGCGTGGATTTAGAAACTTTAAGAGGTTTGCCAGGTAGTACTGGGCAAAGTTTAAGCCTGCATTTCCTGCTTGCTTAATGTTTTACTTTGCAGCCTAAGTAACAGCTTTAAATATAATTTCTTAGCGTGTTTTTAAGGCAGAAGTTTGTTTTATTTGCAAGTGTAGTTATTTCTACTTTGTAACTCATCGTCTGAGTCAGAAACATTTTTGGATCAGGAGAAAAATGAGTTCCAGCAGTTTTCCTATGGACAAAAGCTGTTACTGCAGCAGGGCGAAATGTGTTCTGATGCCCTCATGGTCCCCTGCATTGAGGAACTGGGGAAAGCTCTTCCTCCTCGTGCAGAAATGGAGGACACCCACGATGGGGAATGCCTGGGGCTAGGCAAACTGGGCTGACTGAGTCAGCCACTGCTCAGCACGCTGAGCCTGAGGTGGGCTTGGCAGAAAACCCAAAGTGGCTCCTGTCTCTGCTCTGCTTTGCAGAGCACTCCAGGCAGGCATGCTGCTGCCTTTGAGGTCCTGCATGGATCCATGTTTCTGCTGCCCTAATGCAGGTGTGGGCAATGGTCTCCTGCTCATGTTGAGTTAAGTTTTGGCCTGAGTCCAGGGATTTTCGCTGACCCTGCAAGCAAGCGCAGGGGAGGAGTAATTTGTCAACAGTGAGTCGCTTGCTGAAACCTTGGTGTGGTTTTATTGCAGCTTCACTGCAAATTTAGTTTGGGTGACTGACACCTGAGTCAGGAACATGGGTTAATATAGCTGAACGACTCAGCCTGTGTCCGGTGTGCAGAGCAGGTAGGTTACCAGGATAGCCCAAGTAAAGCTGGTGTACGCCGTTCACTACATAATGCTGGCATGTCCACGTTTTGGGTGGTGGTGGAGGATGTTCTTGGATTTTGGAAACAAACAAGAAAAAATATTTTTCAGTCTCTCTGAGAAGGGGGAAGACAGCAAAGGGGAAACCTGGAAAAGATAACCATCAAAATCAAAACATAATGGAGCCTGGCAGTCCCAGCTCTCATCTCCCCTCTGTTTTCACATCTCAGCCACCATCGGAGACTGAGAGGGAGCCAGGATCACCAGGGCTTTGGGGCGGCTCATCACAGAGCCAGCAGCTGAGACTCCAGAGAAGCTGGTGGCAACCACATCCCCCATGTCTCCTCTGGTCTGGAGGGAGGCTGGGAAGCCCTGGCTTGAGCCACGGCTCTCAAGACTCCCAGGCTGGCTGACTTGTGGCCAGAGCTGGAAGGCGGGTTTGGCTGCATGTCAGCCCCTCTGAAGCTGCCGGAGGTCCTGGAGCCTCCGGCATGGAGTCAGTCCCCACGCCAGGCTGGCTGGCACCCGAGCAGGTACCCTGCTAGCTTGCCACCTCTGCACTGCCTGGCATTTGTTTCTCAGGAGTGCACTCAGCCATGGTGTTGCCACAGATCCCTTGGTCACAGTGGGCTTAGCAGGAAAAAAGCTGGGAGGATTCAGTGCTTGCTGACACAAGACCTCAGGCCCTCATGCTCACCGATCACCAATCTGGTGGTCAAACTGGTGCTTCTCCTAGGTTTCACACAGCCTCAGCTGAGCAAGGTGGATTGAAGCAAAAGTGCTGCTGAAATTTGGCAAGAAGGGGTGTACAGTGAGTAGGGAATTTGGAGGGACATCTATAAATGTGTCCAGGTTAATTCTATAATGCAGGAGTGCAGCGATGGAAACGCTCCTTTCTAGCTTAAAAGTTGATACCAGTGGGGAAAAAAATACCTAGGATGCTAGCATTTTTCAAAAAGAGATGATTCATGCCAGAGAGCACAAGGCCTAATGCAGGTATTGCTGCCACTTTACTCCATAGTAAGGGCACTCAATCTTCATATACTAGCACACATCATAGTCATGCATATCTAAAAGTTTTCACTGATAGAGGGAAAAAAAACCCATGCCAGCTTGGGAATGGAATGGACATTATTCCCCCAAGGAGAGTACTTTTAAACTGAAGTAGGAAAATTCCAAAAACAGGAATAGGTTTTTGTGGTTGAAGAGCTGCAGCTTGCAGACTAGATTTGATGCTAGACCCTTTTAGAAAGGGAATATCTTTTCATGTGCATTTAATAAGGATTTTTTTTTTTTTTTTTTACCCCAAAGCTTTTTTGTCCCAAGCCTGTGGAGCTCCAGTTGCTGTTTGTTGAAATACCTCATGGGCCATATGACTGTCAGTCTTCCATCTCCAAATTAGCAATGGCATTACATAAAACGTTTTCTCAGTAAAGCTTTTTATTGTGTGTGTGCAGAGTCATGACAAGATGTTTTTAGTTTGCAGTTAAGTAACACCGTATGTCATATTGTCTTAATGACTCTGTGAAGTAGATGGGACCTCAGCAGCAGTTACAACAACTATCTCACCATGTCGAGAATTAGTTTGAGAGCGTTAGGATGAATGCCAGCACAGGGAAGACAAGGCAGGGTAGTACATGCAAGCTCTCTGATCCTCAGCCTGTTTCTTTGTGTGAATAAACGTTTCTTTCACACACATGTGCAGAATCAATACAGCACTGCAGCAGCTTGCTGAGAGGAATTTCAGGAGAGGCATCATGTATCTTTTTAAGTATTATGAGTACTCATGGACTTAATTCTTTTAATTTGTATATTGTCTGCAAAAACAACTGCAGCCTATTGCATTACAGGGATGGCCACACAAATCATTTACAGATCGGAGAACAAACCTTTTGTGTTGCAAATCTTAACCCGTAAGTGGGAGACCCGGCAGCTGCACAAGGACCAGGTTAGTTGTGTCAGCCAGGAAGCTTCCTCAACATTCAATGCATCTTTTGTCCTCCTCCTCCCGCAGGTTATTTTGACGCCCATTCCCTGGCCATGGATTTCATGAGCATTGGCTTCCGGGAGTGCCTGACAGAAGTTGCGAGGTACCTGAGTTCGGTGGAAGGCCTCGACACGTCAGACCCACTGCGCGTTCGACTCGTGTCTCACCTGAGCACCTGTGCCTCTCAGAGAGAAGCTGCCGCCATGACCTCCTCCATGGCCCACCACCACCACCCTTTGCACCCTCACCACTGGGCAGCTGCCTTCCACCACCTCCCTGCCGCTTTGCTGCAGCCCAACGGACTCCACGCCTCTGATGCCGCCCCGTGCAGACTCTCCTCGGATGTGCCCCCCCACGGCTCTGCCCTGCTCACGGCCACCTTTGCCCACGCCGACGCTGCACTCCGAGTCCCCTCCACTGCCAGCATCGCTCCCTGTGTCCCTCCTCTCTCTACTTCCCTCTTATCCCTCTCGGCCACCGTTCATGCCGCAGCAGCGGCAGCTACAGCTGCTGCCCAGAGCTTCCCCCTCTCCTTCACTGGCACCTTCCCCATGCTCCCCCCAAGCGCAGCTGCCGCCGCTGTGGCTGCAGCAACAGCCATCACCCCGCCGTTGGCCGTATCAGCCACCGCCAGCCCTCAGCAGGCTGGCAGCGCGGGCAACACCAAACCATACCGACCCTGGGGGACTGAAGTTGGAGCCTTTTAAGTGCCCCGTCTCCTTCCCAGTCCAGCTCCCTCCTCTCCATCAGCACACGTGCACACACAGCCCCATGTGCCCACACGCTCCCAGACGCGAGCCTTCAGGACTCAGCGTGTCCTTCTGCTCACCCAAAAGGCCTGGGAGGTGCTGACAAGGAATGGCACAGCTATCCTCATTTCAGGCATCATCCTACGGAGAGGACATGTAGTGATACCTTCTTCTTCTCATTCTGGTTTGCTGGAGCCATTTTGAGGGAGCAGCAGTGGCTTTCATAACAGCGTGATCATGTCAGCATGTATAGCTTTCCTGGGAATACACAGAAATATGTAGACATTAGAACTAATAATTCTCCAGCTATGCATCCTTCTTTGGCAAAGCAGTGAGGGACAGCACCTACCAGGCTTCCCCAGGCTAGAAAAAGACTTTGACTTCAATAAGTGCCTGATGTTGAAAAAAAAAAATAAATAAAAAATTATATATATATGTGTGTGTTCTGCTAAAACAAGTAACATTGCATAGGTATGGAAATGGTATGGGAGAGAAGTGAAATTCTGCATGCAACTTCAGAACTGGGACACCTTTCCAGGAAACAGTGTGCTTTTGAAGGGGACAGGGGGTTTTAGCCAAAATATTACCGAGGAAGAATGTTCGACAGGCCTAGTTCTCACTTCCTTAGTTCACTTTGTACAGACTTGCCAGATTGTGACATCTAGCATAGCATTGGTAAAAGCAATTATCAGTGCTGGGATTAATGAATGTTTCAGCACTGCCTGTGAGCCTTGAAGCACCCTTTTTATGCCTTAAATATGGTGCTAGCTCCTATCTGCACAGTGAATTTGTCATGCACCCAGAAGTAAACACCTGTTTAAATTGTGCACACTTGGATGCAGTTGATTCATGCCAATACAAGAGACTCAGTGTTTTAAGAGTTCAAATTCACTTATTTAGCTGTATTTGGACATTTAGCTGATTCCGTGCAAGATTCCTCTTCACTATCAACTTCTGGGAGAACGGTCGCTCTGGGTATGAATGAAGTTATGGTAGGGACAGTTTTAAAATTGGCTGTTAAGACGCCAACATTGTAACATGGGTTTGATTCCAAACCAAAATGAATGTATTAAGGGGGGTGTGAGTAAATTATTTTGTCAATACCCAGACAACTAGTGCTGCATAAAATGGTTTGCTTTTGTTTTTTATTACAGTGACTTAAAATAACCTATGTATTTTAATACATCCAGTCAAGAACTAGAGATTTTATGTAAAAAAATTAAAAAATAATAAAAATAAAACACAGCATGTATTATTATGCACTTGATTTCTCTGCTGTGTGGAGAAAGCAATAAGCATTGAGAATGTTAAACATTATGCAAAATATACTTTAAAATATTTGTTTTAAAAATACTGTACCTAGTTGGTCTTATGCATTACTTTGTTAACCTTTTTCTATGCAAAAGCCTTTACATATCACTAATTAAACGAAGTCCTTTTTGACTGCGTTTTATGGATGATTTGTTGCAGTTTTTGTTTGCTCTTGAGGAATACTCGTGCACTCAAAGTTAGTTTCTGCCACTGATAAAAAGCCTGTCAGCTGCTCTGTCCTCTGCTGCTCCCCTTGCTCAGGCACTTAGCCAGTCTTATACAGTGTGCTCTGAAATAGAAAGAAAAAAAGCAGCTGGTAAAGCAACATTGGTTTTCAGGCTTGTCAACTGGTTCTGCACTGACAGTATACTTAATGATGCAAACACATCTGCACATCCTGGGGAGCCCCCAAAATGGCGGGAGTTTCTAGGTTCAGCTTTCCTTCAGATCCTGACTATGAGCCTGTGTTCAGAAGGGGAAGAGTGTAAGCCAATGACATCATTAAATATCTGGATTGAGAGAGGGTAGTTTTTACTTTCAATTCTGGTCTTCTAATTTACTGGTTCTTACTGAGGCAAGGGTTTGTTATTGTTCCATCTGAATCTGCAAATCCCATCTGTAGAAGGCCTATAAAGCTCTGTTCTTAAGGATAAGCACAAAGTCTTACATGCCCCGAAGACAATAAAAGATTATTATGCCCAAGGAGCAGCTGACAAGACTTAGCCACAGAAACAGGGTGATCATCCTACAGCCAGAGAGAGACTTCATCTGTCATCAATATGCATCCTCAGCTCAGTGGCTCACACCCCATCATCCCTTTTTCCCAAATGTTAAACATGTAAGCCACCCCCACCTGCACCAGCTGGTCTCCAGCACCCAGGTGAGGAGGGAGTGATTTGCTTGAATAGCAGGCAGTCCCATGGAGAAAATGGACAAAGGAGAGGGAAGAAGGCTTGCTACCCCTGCACTGTAAATCATCGTTGATATTCTTTGAAGTTTTGTTGTTTGAGGGAAATTTGACGTTTTCTGACTCAGGACACAAATGCTGTACTACTGTTCAGGCGTGTTTAGCTGCATTCAGTTCAGGTGCCATTCACTTTCTGCAGTTTCAAGAATAAAAAAGGACATTAGCCAACTTGCAAGTAGATGAAAAGTGGGCTTTATTTACATAAAAAAGAGCAGGATGCAGTCCTACTTGACTTTAGGCTGTTAACTATTAACCTGCCCTCTAAAAGCCTGGTAGGAGGTTTCACAGGCATCTTACTGTGTTAAAAATGGGCAGCCACTAACTTGGTTTCACCTAAGTGAACCTAACTTGGCTTCACTCTAAGTGATGTGCCCCCAAACACAACCATTTGTTGCTGCGAATGCAAATTTTGCCTAGTTCTAAATATAAAAGGAGTTTGAAAAAAGAGAGACCTCTCAGAGTTTCTGAGAGACCAATTAGACAAAAGTATAGTTATTTTAGTATCCTGGAACAACACCATGGATGGATTTGTGCATCCAGTGTGTTTAGGCTTATCCCATTTTCACTGTCACAAAATAGGCCAAATTCATGGACACTGGGTTGCAGATGTCTCTATTTCTTGTTTTGTTGTCTTTTAGATTGTTTTGTCTTTTAACCTGAGTCACCTAAATGAGATGGGGGTTCACCAGGAAATGAGATGGGGGTTCAGTCTTCATGCCTGTTTATCCCTAGCTTCTGTTGGCAATGTTACCTCCCTCGAGTGGCTGAAGATTTCCAAAGCGAAAAACTAGTGGAGAAGCAGCCTATTTCACATGTGCTGTTGGAAAAATATCAGAGAGTAATAGCCTCTAATGGCTTTGGCTGTAGCTATAGGAGTCTATGCAATGTTTAGAACAGAGCAAGAGTAAGCTGTTTCCTTGGCATAACCAAGATCCGAAAGGCAGGACTTGTGGCTGTGCACATGCAACCTTTTCTCAGCCCTTTTCTATCTTTATTCTGCATTCAACGATGAATGGACCTGGAGAAAGAAGAAAGTCTGTGATTTATATAATTTAGGGTTAGATCATAGCACATAGCACATGAAGACAAACCAGGCTGCTTGCTGAATAGTAAGCAGTTGGCTTTGACTAACTTTTCAATGGGTGGGTTTGCAACCTTAAATTCCAGTTACCAAGAGGATCAAAGAAGGTTATGCATTTTCCTAGAATGTTTTTCTTAAAAGGAAAAACCTACAAACCAATTCTGTCACTCAGCATTAACAGGCTTGAAACCTTAGCCCTCAGCAGTGCAAATAAGAAGCACTTAGGCTGCTGAGAGAAGATTATTACCCTAGAGAGGAGATGGGCAACAGAGGGGTGGTGCTGCCTGTCCTCCCAGGGCTCTGATTGCAACTGGAGGAAATCCGGCACTAGGTATTGCCCCAGAAGAAAAACCGGCTACTGCGGCTGAGGGCTGAATGCATATATTCAAAACAGAATAGTCTGGCAGTTGTTCAGGCAGATGTAGTCACAGCCAGGAGGTGTCAGTTCACGCTGCTGCCTCCTTACTGTGAGCCTTTAAAATGTTTGTTTGCAGCTACTCTGAAAAATGATACTTCAATCAGGATGCCATGAGATAGGTAAAGGGCATTTAGCGAGGCCTGGGACTTGAATATTAGCAAGTTCTTACAGGTATTGTAAAGGAGGTGTTTGTTCTTAATAGGAAAGGTCACAAGCACCTTTTCATCAGAAGATACGACATCAGAAAATACTACTGAAGAGTGAAGTGGACTGTTAGCGGCTCTTTAGTAACCAGTCTCATTAGTCATCTGCTTTTATAGGCACAGATAGCCTTGAGATCACACAAATGAGGACCTGAGTCATTTAACAGTCACGGATAGTTTTGTTCAACTTCGAAAAAAGATAAAGGAATTGGTATGGCTTTGTTTGCAAGCTTCCTGTGCCCAGCCTCATTTGTGTGAGGTTGTTACCCGAAACTGAGTATTATTTGACTCAACCCTGGAATTTTTACTTGTGCTCTGTTCCTCTGCTTCAGCATTTTGCACAGCACAGATCTGTGTTTTGGAAGCTGGTGCATAAAGGTCTCAAAACAGATGACCACAAGCAATACATCTGACCATGACCAGAAATTATAAACAAGGGAGCACCAGGCAGGTGCTAGAAATGCTGGGATCTCAACTTGAGGGTGAACTCACTCTTTCCTGATTTGCAAATAGAACAAAATTTTGACAGATAATTACCTGCAAAAAGGTGGTTTGGTTTGGTTTTGGTGGGGTTTCTTTTGATTGGTTGGTTCCTCACGATCCAGTAATTGCTGCTGCTGGAAGATGTAAAATGCTATTAATAAGTAAGTATAATCACTTAGTCAGTATTCAGATATTTGCCATGTCCTAAGCTAGGCTCCTGCTATCACTCTGGAAGGTGCAGGTCTCCCTTGTGTCCTGTGTCACTTCTGCCAGCCCTGTGCAAACGCCTGGGAAACTCAAGGTTGCTTAAGTGGCACTTAACTGTATATGGTCAGGCAACTGAATTTCTCCTTCTCCATCTTGTATCATCCCTGGATAGGATTTGAAGCTTAATAATATTTTCACACTTGATCTAATGTTTTCAAAAAATCAGCTTCCTTCTCACCTGAAAAAAAAAAAACAACAGAACAGCATCAAAATTATTTGATAATGTGTTGTTATAATCTATCAAGCTTGTAAAACTAAGACCAGTCAACATCTCATTCAACACTAACTTCAGAGTTTCTTTTAATGGTCTGGCTGCAGTAGTGGCAGTGATTATAAGATGATGTCCATATAATTTCTTTTTAAA